CCGATGCTGCCATGACTGCGAGCAGCATGAGAAGGTAGAGCAGGTTGAATATCCTCATAGTTAGGTGGCAGCTGGTTTCAGGAGCTGAAACTTATGATAATTTTCACAAATAATTCCGGAGAGTCCCTGTAGCTCAAATCCGGACTGGACTGGAGATGCTGAGTGTCTTTCAGATTTGCCCCTCTTCTCTTTTCAGTCAGGAAATCCTCCTCTGGGAGAATCCAGTACGAACAAGTAGATCTCTTCTCAGGATAATCGCTATGTCCCTGAAGGAATGTGTGTGTCCAGAGTGACTGTCTCTGTGTCTGAGAGCGAAGTGACAAAGGTGCTTCTCCCCCTTCCTCCTTTATACAGCCTTTTTTAGAGGGAGGGGGGCTGGGTGGGTAGTTCCCACAACAGCCCCCCCCCTAACACACAAACTCTCTATCCCTCAAACACACACACACAAACACACATTTCGGCACATATTGACCCCACATGTAGAGGGGTAATTCAAATGACAGGAAGCCCCCTCCGTGTACCCTGAACTGCCCCTTGAACACACACTCTTATGCTGCATGCTGTATTTTGTGTGCGCAAGTGGCTGATATTTTCAAAGAGAGCGGAGTGAGCAGGCAGGGAAGATTTATCACCTGTAACATTAGAGCAAAGATTTAAGAAGCTATGACTGGAAATAGCAGGTCCTCCAAGAACCAGATCCCGCCTGGCTCTCTCCTGCCCCCCAACAGATGAAGACACACACACATGCGCACACACACACACACACACACATATACATCTGGAGCTTTTGGGTGTTGAGGTGGTGGGGGCAGCGGTCCTCCGAATGAAATCTAGGGGACGGCAGACTAATGATGGCCAAAGACGTCTTAACTGTCTGTGTAGATCTTGTACTGTCTCTGAGTGACAGCATGAAGGCCTGCCTCTGTAATGTTGGCTTTTAGTTGGTTGTTTCTCTCATCACTTGGATAAACCATTACAGTTAAAAAAAACAGCCCACAATATCCAGGTGAACTTGATAAATATCTTATAGCACAAGGATAACCAGAGAAGTAAACAAAGCATTCTGTGGCTAACTTATATAAAGATTGTTTAGTTATTCTTATTTTTCTGGCGTCATCCGATGAGAGGGAGCAGCAGAACCTCAGCAAGGATTTTTAGAGCGGGAAGGGGGAAGGGATAAAGTCTGGATTTTTAACTGCATCACAGCTTTTCCCACTGATAAAATACATTATTATTATTATGCCAAAAATGATTAAATAATCATTAAATAATTTTTTTTTTTTACAATGGATCCACGGTGAAATTAAAAATGAATACATAAATCAAATAAAGCAGAACTTTGCACATTTAAAAGCCCAAAGAGTGGTGCTGACAGGTTTTTCATTTACAATAGCAGCATTTCTCTCGGCTTTGCTTCTTTTGTTTGGTTTTGGTAAAAAGAGTCTGTATTGTATAAGCGCTGTTTTTATTATGCCACATTCCAAGAAATATCCAGCCCTGCGTGGGTATCCGGGTAGCCCATCGTTGGGGTTTCCTGCAGCAGGTAACCCACTTCACTTGGCATTAGCTCTGCAGTCACCGGCTGCGCGCGGGGGGGGGGCTCATTAGTGTGTCTGCTGACGGCCGTCTCTGTGGACTGAGTCTCTCCATTCAGCACCCAGCTAATGAATTAACACATTAAGATGAAATGTCAGCCGTTACATGTGAATGAGGATTAGAGGAGCAGCAGGACACTAATGGACCGCAGGGCTTGAAACAGTCAGAGAGTCTCTGAACGAGCACCTGGGCCGTCAGCTCCTTCAGCTCTCAAGAATAAAGCCAAGGCCAGGGTCTTTGTGTTTTTTAGTGTTGTTTGTCGGTGTCGCATTTTGAAATGTTGCCTTTTATTGCTTTATGATGTTTGCAAAAATGCTCCTTGAAATGACAGAGATTCTTCCCCAACAACACACAAACACACACATTCATTCTGCTGCAAACACTCTGCTGAGGTATGTAGTTTGTTTCTGTGGTGAGCTGCACTTTGCATATCAGCTGCCTTTGTCATTTAAAAAACTTTTATTTTCCCAATTTGAATATGCTTATTTGGTCTCAATTGTCATTCACAGCCACCTGGTATCCACTGCCTGCTAACTCCTGCCAGACCTCTGCCTCTCTGTGTTCCTCACTTTCTGTCTACCTGCCCTTTGGAGTAAGAGAGTAAGATTCATACCAGATTCTCCCACCAGGTCTTCGCTGCAGAGCGTGTTGTAATAATTTGCCCTTATAAAAGGGATTATTCGTGTTTACGAGGATTAGCCAGCCTGCTTGAACACACCCCCGTGAGAGAGGCACACACAGACTGGGCGAGCTCTCACACTGCTGCAGTACCCTGGCAGGGCTGCAGGTGAAGCTTGTTCTTTTGTGGCGTGAGAGCCATCTTTGGTTACTTAAACAGTGCAGTGCATTTTTGCATTGTATGAAGTGTTTAACAAACAACAAGCCCAAGATAACATGTGAAGATAATGAGTTGACATCGATAGAAAACAGAACAGCTGCAAATCCACTTTTGCTGTGGAAATGACTGAGAAGGATGAGCATTTATCTAAATTGTTTCTTCCTGCTTTGCTAAAACAGCATCAGGATGTGTGCTTTATGTGTTCATGTGTGTGATGGAAACCATTTGGAAAGTGGATTTACCTCTCTGAGTGTAAAGTAACCAAAATGCTGTCTTGCTACTTGTATCTGCGCTAAAACATCAGCCTCTTTTTGGATTAGAGCAAGAATTTTATTAGCTGATTAAATACTTTTTTTGTCAGCAAAAAGTCTCAGAAAAATTAAATTAGACAGACTACTGAAATTGTAAAACTCAAAAGTCTGAGTTTGGGCAGTTAGTCCAGCATAGTAGTAAACGTTAAAAGATTTTTTTCTGACATTTCAGAACCATGATGTGACTAAATGAGGAAAAATAGCTGGTAGCAAATTATTTGCAGCCTTATTTGAAGCATTCCCAAGTACCAGCCCTGTTATTAATCCCGTCGCTCAGCGTGCTCATATTTTAGTCCAATGTGTGCCTGAACTCAGCAGGCAGTGTGCTCTGAATTAGTGTGCAGCTCAGAAAACAGTTGGACTGCAGGGCTGCTGTTATTACGAGTGTTAACAGCAGTCCTGGTTTTCCCAGCAGCTGTACTGACTTTACAGCGTCTCCTCCCCTCCTCTTAAAGTTTCACTTTCTTCTTTTCCTCTGTCATCATCTCTTGACCGGGATCAGCAGATAAGGAGCTTTCTTTATCTCTGACAAAACTTGTTCGGAAGAACAGTGCTCCATAAAATGCCCCTGTAACTTTTAGACTTGGGTGATCATTAGCACATATCATTAAAACACTGAAATGGTAATATAAGGTACATGCTGTAGATGGGTGACCAGTAGAACTTTTTAGTGAGGTTTTTTCCCCATTGAGCTTCCAGATCACCGTTCTTGAAAGTCTTTTCAACTTTGCTGGAGGCATAAACAAAAGACAGGTCATCCTCTCAGTTCCTTAACACACTATTTTCAAACATTTATCTAGCGCACAGTTAATGTGGCAAATCAACGCCCACTTTTTTATACTTGATATCAATCACATAGGTCGATACTGATGTTTAGCTGATGTACAGCTGTAGATTTGATGATGGTTGAGGATCTGGTGATTCTCTGTGCCACAGTTTTTAATTTGCATTAGAGATAGAACAAAATAAACCCAATAAACTTCCCATCTTTATTTTCAGACTATTCATACACAACTGCCTTTTACATTAGAACACAGTTATATTAAAAAATCATGAGCAGCGGGACTGCTCAATGGTGATATTGAAATATTTCATGACCAATATAACACAGTATTATGATTTATCAAGGATTTATTTTGCTAAAAACAAAGATACCAGAACCAGTCGGCTTAACGGAAATATTTAGTTATAAATATTTTTCATCGTAGGTTCTCAGATGTAAATATTTAGCAGTTGGGCTACATGTTATGATAGAAAGCTGAACACATTTCCATTGTACACACTGCTGGTTGTTCAAGAAAGACAATGTGAATGAGTTCTGAATTTCTGGGAAATTTCTGGGTGATTTGATACAGAATGGATTACATGAGAAAATAATGAAGGCCAATATAGGCATATAGGTTGTTATAAGCCTTGTTGCAAATACTGCTGGGCTGAAAATAAAATAAAAACAAATATTGGCATTATAAGACCACGATTTCACAAATAGTCCAAAGATTGCATATAATTATGACCTCCTTGTGCTTTATATGGAAGAGTTTATGTTTGTTTCTTTTTAAGAATGATCACCCCTCTCTTTATAGGATGGTTTGCACGTGAGATGTTTCCATAGTCTAAGGTCTTATGAATCAAAGAGCTGACGTGATGGCCGGAGCTTGTGTGGGTTGTTCTGTTTCTCATTCAGGAGCCGAGTGTAGGTGATGAAACGAGTGGCCATAGTTGAAATGTGCCGTGATGTCTGAATTTGTAGGGGTGTGTCCTTGCCCTTGTGTCTGTGTGCATGGGTGTGGATTGTGGCCTGTTGAGTTCATTGACCATCATTAGAGTGATAGTGGGTCTGTTGTCATGCCACAATATCGTCAGTGTTAATGAGGGCTGTAGCCATCCAGCCAGAGCTTAATTACTCTGAAGACCCTTTATCTCTTCAACAGCCCAATACTAA